GAGCAGGCTGATGTGGGCGTATCCGCTGAAGCAGAAGGACCACGCCGCCTCCACGATACGGGACGATTGGCTGCCATTCGTGGAGAAGCAGGCGGAGTGTGTAGTGAAGCGGATTAGGACAGACCGGGGTGGTGAGTTCCTTGGAGCTGAAATGACGGCCTGGCTCAAGAAGCAGGGCATCCAGAGAGAGCTGACCACGGCTTATACCCCACAGTCCAATGGTGTAGCAGAACGGGCAAACCGGACCATTCTGGAGACAGCTAGGGCGCTGCTCATAGAATCTGGGCTGAGCAATTCTATGTGGCCTCATGCTGTCCGGCACGCCACTGTCGCTAGGAACAGGGTGCTCACCAAGGTTGGGGATGACTCGTGGGTGCCGTTGGAGAGGTGGCTTGGGAGGAAGCCGCCGGTGGACATGCTGAGGGTGTTCGGTTGCATGGCAGTCGCCCACGTCCCCAAGATCTACCGCAGTAAGTTGGGGGCGAGTGCAATCTGGTGTGTGCATTTGGGGCTGGCTGCTGAGAGCAAGGGATGGCTGCTGTGGGAACCATCCAAGGGTGTGTTGTTTGACAGCAGGGATGTGAAATTCATTGAGGGCATGATGTATGGGAGAAACAGCCGGAGGCAAGGGTGTCCCAGCAGATGGAGCAGATCACCATGCAGCTGGACCTGACTCCTAGTGTGTGGGAGGAGGGAGAGGAGGCAGCTGCTGGAAATGGTGATGGAGAGAAGGTACAGGAGGCATCTGCTGGTGGAGAAAATGGTGTGGAAACTGGCGGCAGCACTAGTGGAGCTGCTGGACCCGAGGGAGGAGAGAAGCAGCAGGGAAAAACTAAGAAGCCGAAGGGTGTCGTTATGAAGGGATGGGAGACACCCGTCTCCAGGCCAGGACGTACCCGTATGGCTACTAAGAAGCTGACTGCAGGAACTGATGCAGCAGAGCAGCAGCTAGGGACCGAAGAGGCATTGCTGATTCTACCTCATGGCTATGACCCGGATGAGGAGGATGAGCCTGCGTACTGTTTTCTTGCCCCTGCACCAGAGGAACCAGCTAGCATGGAGGAGGCATTAGCTGGACCAGATAGGGACAAGTGGCTGGCTTCTAGGGATGCTGAGTACCAGAGTCTGCTGGAGAATAGGACATGGGATCTGGTGGTGCTGCCTGATGGGAAGAAAGCGATACAATGCAAGTGGGTGCTGAGGATCAAGACCGATGACAAGGGGCAGGTCACCATCTACAAGAGTAGGCTGGTGGCGAAGGGGTTTATGCAGAAGGAGAAGCAGGACTTCAACGAGATCTTTGCTCCCACTGCCAAACCCCCTACCCTCCGTGTCTTGTTGGCAGATGCAGCTGTTAGTGGGAAATTCATCATTCAGATGGATATTTCAACGGCATTCCTGAATGGGATTTTAGAGGAGGATGTGTACATGACGCAGCCGCCTGGGTATGAGGATGGTACGGGCAGGGTGTGCAAGCTCAACAAGTCCATCTACGGCTTGAAGCAGGCGCCACGCTGCTGGTACCAGAAGTTGGCAGCTGTTTTAGAGGAGATGGGATTCAGGACCAGCAGCTGTGATGAGAGCCTCTTTCTCAAGGGCGAGGGGGAGAAGCTGGTGCTGTTTCTGGTCTATGTGGACGACATTCTTCTCTTCAGCAGCAGCATGAAGGAGATCCAGAAAGTGCAGCAGCAACTGATGGAAAACTTCAAGTGCAAGAACCTTGGGGAGGTAAAGTACTACCTCGGGATGCACGTGGAGAGGGATCCAGATCACAGGTGGTTGAAGCTGCACCAGGAGAAGTTCATCAAGGAGCTGGGGGAGAAGTATGGGATTGAGAATAAGCGCAAGGTTGCAACTCCCCTGCCAGCAGAATTCAAGCTTGTGAAGGCTGCAGAGGATGAAGGGGTTGAAGAGCAGCAGCAATTTCAGTCCTTGGTGGGCAGCCTCTTGTACGCAGCAGTTCACACGAGGCCCGACATCTCTTTCTCGGTTGGGCAGCTGGCTAGGGTGGTGCAGAATCCATCAGAGGAGCAGGTGGATGCAGCTGAGCGTGTGGTGAAGTACCTGAACTCTCACCCAAGCATTGGAGTTCAATACTCCGCATCTGCACAGGTGAAGCAGAAAGGGGTGGAGGTGCTGAAAGAGAAGGGGGAGAGGCTTGGAGAAGGCAAGCTATTTCTCACTTGCTTTACCGATGCTACGTGGGCTTCTGAGAAGGAGGATTCCTCATCTGTGGGAGGATACATCTGCGTAGTTGGGGGAGGACCTGTTAGTTGGAGGTCCAAGAAGCAGACGGAGACGGCACTCTCTTCCGTAGAATCAGAGTACATGGCGATGTTCCATGGGGTGAAGGAGGTGATTTGGCTGAGGAGGCTGTTAGAGGAGATTGGCCAGGAGCAGAAAGTTGCTACGCCGCTGTTTTGTGATAGCAAGGGGGCTCTTGGGATGGCCAGAAACGCTGTGCTTCATGGGCTGAACAAGCACATGCGTATCAAGTGGCACTGGCTGCGTAAAGAGGTGAAGAGGGGGACGGTGCATCCGATCTACATCAAGACTCACCAGCAGCCAGCAGACTTTCTCACCAAGAGGCTTGCGGATGAGCCTCATTGGCGTTGTGTGCGCATGAGTGGAATGAGCATGAACTAGCATGGAATGACGGGGATGCAGCCGGCAGGCTGAGGGGGAGTGTGTTGGGTGCAAATGCACATTGCACGACATCCTGCCGTCTGTTTGTACGAGTATGCGTGTGCGAATGCATTTGTGTGTGAATGGTGTCTTCGTGTGTTTGTTTGCTTTCGCATTTTTTCGCTTGATGCATTTGCAGGTACTCGCGCAATGTGCGCTTCGGCACAACATTGTATGCGCTATGAACAGTGCAAGCAGAAAGGACGAGCTCGCAAAGGAACCCAAGATGGAAGCTTTGCAGTTCGGTTGAGTTGATTGCGCAGATTCAGTTCTATCCAACTCGGAATTGTACTGTTTTGTTTGGTTAACTATAGTGTAGCAGGGAAGGCACTATAGGGGTACAATTTAGGTGAAGGTTGGATGTTGTTTGTCTGTATCTGCATGCTACAAGGCCAGGGGAAACCAGCGGAACCAGCATTTGGCTGGTTGGGCAAAGACAAAACAGGTTCTGTTTTTAGAACCTGAACCTGGTTGTTGTTTTTCCAGGTTGGAAAAACAGAACCAGAGGTTGTTTACCAACCTACCACCTGCTATTTTGTCCAACCAGGTTGGTTCTGTTGCTTGGAATTATTTGGGATCATCCCTGGTTGTTCCCAGGTTGATTCCCAAGGTCCTTGCTAGCTAGAACTATTTAATCCTTCTCTGTTTGTACCTGAATATAGTCAAATTGATTCAAGCGAATTCCTTCCTCGCTGGAATTTCGTTTCTGCGCTATTCGACGGCGGAATGCTACCCGAGTCAACGCTAGTATGCTAGCACTCCAACGCTAGGCAAACGCTGTCCGAGCCATAACTTAGTAATGGCAGAACTTTTCGCGAGGCAACTTGGCTCATTTTAAAGCTCTTGGAGCGAGCTTCGATATAGCGAATTCTCAGCTTAATCCGACCGACGGTCTGCACGGCACGCTGCGCGACGTTCAAGGTACTCTTGCTGTTTTGACTAAGTCCTTCTTGATCCCTCTCTCTACAAACTCAGACCCGAGGATAGGGGCTGGTCTTGTACCAGGCACCCAGGGACCCTTGGAGGTGACCCCGAGGAGAGGTTTTAAGTTTGATTAAGTCCTAATAGCTTGAGTTTATTAGGCCCTTACACCAACAGAAATGTGCCCATTTAACGATGAAGCCTGCATCCTCTGCGACAGCACGCAGTGTTCGGCCTTCGACAAGGAAGCTCGACTTGTTCCACAGCGCCCATGCCTCCGCCACTGTGGTGCTGTCACGCCACGGCCGCACAACACTGTCGAAGTAGACAATCTCTGGTGTAGGTGTAGATGGCTCAGGGGTTGATGGGCCAGCTCCACCTTTCTCGATGTTCGAGGAGCCCGCAGCTCGTGCGGCAGAGTCGCCGGCGCCAACATTGCTCGCCGAAGAAACCGTGAGAGCCGCCAACTCGGCCTTGAGCTGCGCCACCTCATCCAGGAGCCTCTTATTGTCGCTCTGCAGGTCGCACATTTGGGCCTGAAGCTCGGCGTTGCGGACGTCCTTCAGCCCATTCTGCTTCTTCAAGCAATGGATCTCTGCATGCAGCTTCGCTTGCTCGTGGTCTCCCTCGATACGGTAAATAGCGTTCTGCAAGACGGAAAAATGTTAGAAGTGGAGAGTACTCACGTTAACAAGACAAATCTGCAACAAAAAAGACGACACTTACGGCCATCATCGACTGTCCCGCGTTCTCCCTCATCTCCATGCCGTTTTTGTCCATGGTTGCAACAATCTTGGCCCACTTTTGAAACAAGGGCTCCTTGCAGAGTCGGCTGATCTGCACATATGGGTGTCGCGTACAGTAGCATCGTGGTTGTTCTGGGTCGAAATCGTGGTGGCGACAGTGGATCCACATCATGGCAAGGACTTGCGCGACCACGTCCCGACCGCATTTTATGAGACACTCCAAAAACCTCCTCCCAGAGTGATGCTGCTTGTAGGGGGTCCTGTGACGGTTGTACTTATCGACCTGGTGACGAGGGAACGGGGCAGAGTAGTAAAGATTGCAACATAAGCCTGAAATTTGTTCACGCAGAAGAGGTGTTACAAAACTCACGGGTTTACATTTTTCAGCTGCCTCTCGGCCCAGGGGTAAATGTGCTTTCTGAAAAGCTTCTTCAACTGCTTCCACTCCTCTGGGTCTGGGAGAACAGCGTGTGCCCTGCCGATGTAGTAATCTCCCGCAGCTCCGGTGAATCCAGCCATCATAAGCATAGGATGAAACGGAATTCCAATAATGTACGCCTTCCGCATCTCTCCCTGCTCCCACCCACCCAGAGCGCCAATGTCATTATCGGGGCAACGGTCGTCGCTCAGCCCCTGTGCCCCCGATCTTCAGAAAATGTGGGTCACCTTGCTGAACATCCACTTTGCCTGTTTCATGACCCAGCGGATCCAGTTGTTGTGAGTCTCGTACTTCATCTCGTCTTGCCTTTGCGGAGGAGGGTCATTCGGCTTCCTTATGCCGAAGAATAGGTGCTTCTTGGACCACCTTCGTGGCTTCCGAAAGTTGAGACGAGGCAGAACCTTGTTCCCGTATCGAATCGGCACGAGATCGTAGAGCCAATGAATCCACAAGAAAACCCCCCCAACACCGCGGAGCTGCCAGTCGAGGTGCCTTGCCAGATACTGATGTGTCAGGTTATTGGAAAGATTGGTCTTTGTTTTCCTCGAGGCGATGACGAGCACGGGAAGGTCCATCTTCCCATTTACGCGGGTGCTGCTGCGGCACATGCGGATGAACATGTTGGCGAATCGGATTTTCCGAATGGAGACTCCCCTCCCGAGGACCTGGTGCGCCAGCTGAATCATGACCTTGACGGCGAGAACCCTCCACAGCGCCTGAGATGGGAAATCCTTGCTCCTCGCGTAGATCTTGAAAGTCTCTTCGGGAAGAGTGTTGTGATGCAGCTCCCTGTACTGGTCTGCGTTGTAGCAATCGTCGAGAGACCCACGGTGTTGATCCGCTCCGGTTCTGCACAGACAGTGGGTAGGCAAATAAGCTCTTCAATGATACGGTCCGACTATGATCGACGACGCCTCCGTAGAGTTTTCGGTTATGAAGTGCCAATCGAGTGGAAGGAGCTTCACATCTGCCACAACTAATTGCTCACCTAATCTGCTCCTCGTTGAGGTTGACCAGCTTCACTCTCATAAACGCCCTGCCCTCTGCGACCTTGTCTTGCATCTTGGTAAGTGGGTAGTCGTACAGCGCAGACTCGCATCTGCCGAGGCAGCCGATAGCGTTCATCTTCGCCTTAATCATCTTTGGGGTGCTGGGCTTGGGCTCCCTCCCTGCAACGACAGGCGCATCTCCCTTGAGGGTACGTGCTTGTTCAGGTGTTTCATTGAACAAGTACTCGAGGTAGCGCATAATCCTCCTGCCGGTAACCCGGGGTCCGTGCAGATGCTGCACGGAGTCATCCACCGATTCCCACGAGAGTCGCGCGTCGTCGCCCATGTACCTTCCAACTTCGTCTGGGTAGTCGGGGTCAATTTTCTCGGATTCTGGAATCACGTCTGCCAGCAGAGTCATCATCATCAGTAAAACCCAGCGCTTGTAATGGTGCCAATTGCAGGCGTACTGTAATCTAGTGTGTGCGGATAACCCGTCGACGTGCACGGCAGCGAGCATTCCTGTGAGCTCTCTCGGCGTCGCTCTGCGGTGGATCGCTCCCATGGAAGCCGGTGTCTTCCATAAACAGGGGACGACGAGTGTAGCTTGAATTCTCGTCGTATAGGCCGTGCGCAGATCGTCTGCCCCGCCTGCGTCGTCGACGTCGCGCCGACCGTTGGCCTTGAGAGGGCTGCTGGTCCCCTGCAGATCGTTGGCCTTGAGAGGGCTGCTGGTCCCCTGCAGATCGTTGGCCTTGAGAGGGCTGCTGGTCCCCTGCAGATCGTTGGCCTTGAGAGGGCTGCTGGTCCGCTGCAGATCGTTGGCCTTGAGAGGGCTGCTGGTCCCCTGCAGATCGTTGGCGTTGTGACGGTCGAGTGGTGTTTGAATGCTCAACACCCACACGCCCGGAAGCTCTGTTGTGGCTTGAACTCTGACCCCCCTGACCCTCGTCGTCGCTTTCCTCATCCTCCATGTCTTCGTCACTGGCGTCGCTGAAATCGGTCTCAGTCTCTTCATCTTCCTCGTCATCCGAACTTGCATCGTCGTCGTCTCCCTCGCTTGCGTCCATGAACTCGGCTTCCTCCTCTTCACCATCCCCTTCGTCTGCCAAACGTTCTCCTACATTCAGGATCGGGTCCCCATATTCCGACTCCGTCTCCTCATCGTCCGCTTCATCTGCACCTGCTTCCGGGCCTCCCTCTTCTCCACCGTCCCTTTGCACTGTCACTGGTTCACGGCCTCCCTCGTCTTCAGCAGTCGCATTAGCCTCCTCTACGACAGGCTCGCGAGCCTCTGCAGCGTCGTAATACTGGTCTTCAACATGGGGACTGTAGATGAGATCGTGGCCTGCATCCTGCGCGTAGTCATCTTCGGCGTCCGTTAATTCGTCGTCGTCCTTGTCGTCGCACCCGTAAAGTTCTCGCCATAAAAGATCGAGATAATCGATCGGATGTGCATAAAAGATCGAGATCATCGATCGGATCTGAGGACATTGTACTCTACGAAGAAGGAAAACACACCTAACTAGAAAAACCTCACATGGGTTCGCCAACCTCAGTGTCCTACAGGGGTACCGCTACTAACGAAATGTGGTCTGATAAGTTCAAAACATTAGATGTACGAGGTCGCGCACCAGTACTATCGACGATTAAGCCAACGTAAACTACGTAACGGATCGACCTGGCAAAATATAAACTATCGCGACATTGTAGAGTGTCTGTGACCATAATTGTCGCCGCAGAGTAAATTACTCTACCGGTAGAAGAAGAGGCATTTGTACGATAAAGTGTGACCGTAGAAGATGAAAGATATGTGCTGCGCTGCTATCGCTGTCTGGTATAGAAGCGTATCACATAGGAATTGCAGAACTTCCTAATCTGTCGTGTTGCAATTATGCTTCTACATCTGCCAGACTCGATTTCGAGACGAGTTGCAGATCCTATGTTCTAATCTACAATTGACAAATTGGATGGTCGGGCTGCCCCAAAAAAAAAGTAGGCTGCCTAAAGTAACCGTCTACAAAACACCGGATCGTGGACCACGACTTTTTGCAGACTTTCTACGAGGGCTGTTGTCGGAGATGAAAGGTGGAGGGGGTGGGGCGCTGAGGACTTAGCGGAATAAATAGCCGAAGCGGGTGCAACAGCACTCGGAGGACCTCGCAGTGGCCATCATGAAAACCGTGAACAAGAAAAATAAGAATCAGAATGAGGGTGACGACTGGCTTTGAAGCCCCACCTTGAGCTGACTCCATTAATCAGGTCACCTGGTGTTCAGATCTGGATCGCCTGGCCGCCCGCCAAATCCAGGGCCGGCGGTTGGCTCCTTATTAACTGGGGCAGCGGTCGGCTGGCATTGGTTCCTGCATCAGAGGAGAAACATGTTCGACGATTGGTCGACCCTAATTTTGGTGTCAGAATACACCGCGTTGTTCATATGAAATTAAAAAAAGTAACATGTGCTAGATCGCGATGCACTCTGTACGGAGTTCGCGTGCGACTGGCTCTGCGACGACGTGACGACCGTCTTGTCGCAACCGGCCGTGCGACAAGAGGGGATCGTCGGCCGTCCGAGGGGTAACCTCGCTTCTCGCGAGCGTTTCGCCGACAGCTGCGCTCGCCAAAGTTGGTGTTGCGTTTCGAGTTCGGCCTCTGCCCGAGCTATATTTTTGGGTCAGGTGGGCGCAACATTTCGGGGCGGAGACCCGTGTCGTATTCGGCGGGACCTTGCGCCCGTTTGCGCCCACTTTCCGACTCTCTTTCTCGCAGACAGACCCAGAAAGTCAGCCAGGCGTTTTCGGAAAGACAGGGAGCTCGGCGGAGAAAAAGCTTTCATTATCCCATCTCCATCTTCACCCATCCTCCTCGTCGTACATCAGCTTTACTAGTCTCGGCGAAATCATGTTACACCCTCATTCTCAGTCTACGCACAATCGGGAGCAGCGACAACAGTGTTGTCAGGTAGCGTCTCTGTGCTTGTGGCCGAACCCCCTAATGTTGCCAGGCACACCATGCACCAAGCGCCAAAACAGTAACATTCGAAACGACTTGTTCACTTTGTCCTACACTGTGGCCAAAGATTCCACATCAAAACACACAAGAAACAGACAATTCCTAACACAGGTTCAAAACACATACAGAATATCTACGTTCGGTAGAAAGGGGTAACGTATGGTAGAGCGAAAAGCAACGGCAGCCAACCACACATGTGAGCGCACTGTACACTTCCTGCCAGTCAAAGTCAACAGCTGCATTACCAACGTGGCAGTCGTGATTGTGCTTGTAGAGTATGTGCATGCACCATTCTAGGCACGTTGCAGTCACTACAAGCGTTCGGTGCATGTGGCGATTGTGCACAGACTGAGAATGAGGGTGTACTTGCCTGCCCCTTGTCACATACAGCGGTTCTGTAATCCGCATCCTCCGAAATCTCGAAATCACCGTCACGCAGCTGTCGCATCCCGTACACTGCAAGCTGCCGTCGTCGCAAACTGACGCAACGTCCCTATACTTATCAAAGTCCGTCTTGTCTCCTGTCATACTCTCTCGACCTTCCGTCTCGGTAACATCACATCACACATCTCCCTCGCTTGTTCATCCATATTCGCGCGTGGCACTTGCCAAATGACACTACCCGAGTTTGTCCACCCTGGGTGTTTCTCCAACCGCGGACTTCTGTCGCATTCATCGCGCGTGCGAAAAACCCGACTGTTTCCTCCTCCAGTCGCTCGAATGTCGCATGGGGTATTCGCCGCTGTGTCACGTCTTTGCGAGATTCCTTATCGACACAAGATTCCCACGTTAGAGAGTATACGTCGAGTCTTGTCGCACACTCACGCGTGCCACGGGAGCGCAAGAACGACAGATTCGATGCATGGTCAGTGTCAGTCAAAGTCGCCAGAACCAAACAGTGTCCTAGTCAAGGGCCGCCTAGGTTGAGTACGACTAGCGCGTCGCCATGGATAGCGCCTGGTGGTAAATGTCACGTCATACCCCGCGTCGCATAGCCGTGAAAACACCAAGACCTATCCCGTCATATGCTCCCCGCCCCCAAAACCAAGAACAATCGAGACAGCTGGCTTAGGAGCAGCTTGGGGGATTTGGGGAGATTTTGTTTTTTAGCCTGAGCTAGTTACGTCGTTGCTCCTGCTGCCACAGCCGAAAACTATCGAGACAGCTGGCTTACTAGGAACAGATTAGCGGTTTGGGCAGTTTGGGGTAATTATTGTTCAGCCTGAGCTAGTCACGTCATTGCCCTCGCCTTTCCCGCCTACCGACCACTCCACATGAGTCCGAGGCGGCTCAACCGAGGCGGCTCGAGACTCACGCTAGAAGTCCGAAACATGCCAGCGCACACGGGATTTGGGGCGATAAGCGCGCCTCGGCGTGCGCGTCCTCTCAGGCACTCCTTCGCAAACGGCTCACTCACAGACAGCAGCAGCCGCTGTCCGCTATTTCACTACCGTGCCGCAGCAGCAGCAGTAGTAGCAACAGCATCTCTTCCCGTTCTTATTCTACCCATCTACTGGCCTTCAGGCTATCCTACCCTCCGCTATCATCCCATCCCTCGCTTTGTGGCTGAAGGGGCAAAGCTCTCGCGTACTTCGTTGGAAACCCTTATCCCCGTTCCCGCTTTTTGATACTGGGAGAAGGCCTCTTACGATCATGCATACTGCTGCTTGACGGCGTCGCAACGGCTGCTGACATTCAATCGCTATTTCTTTTGAGAGTGCGACCATTCTTGCGTGATCCGCCTCCCAGAATTTTCTCCAAAAGTCTGCGGCTGATTGGACAGAGAATCTTGCGTCGAGACGTTTCGATACACCAATCGCTGCCAGCTTTCGCTCAGTTTCTCCTCCCAACGGGACTTCGAATCGCAACATGGCGGTGTGGGGAACACGTGGCAGCGCCTCGTTGGCTGGACGGCGTGGTGTGGTCTTTGCGGCAGTGCTGGCGGCAACAGTCCTGTTCGAGCTCACGTATGCGCAAGGTGTGTATCTTTTGATTTTTTAAGCGCCTCAAAAATCGTCTCAATTCACTCGGTTTTTATATGGGGTATGTTTCGAGCTCACGTATGCGCAAGGTGGGTATCTTGCACTTCTTTCCACCTTTCTTCCTCGACCAATGCCCTTCTGCTTGGTGTTTCAACTTCTTTTGCTCTCATCTCGTCTCATTCCTATCCGTTAGACACTGACGCCTCAACCTTCACCTCTTTCACCCGCGTCTCATTTTCTCCCTCATCTCCTTCTGTCTTTCCTCTCCTTCCCTGTCCCCTCGTCCCTCGTTCTCTCCCTCCCGTTCTCGTTCTGTTTTCGTTCTCGTTCTCTCGTTCTCGTTTTCTCGTTCTCCCATTCCCATCTCAGACCCCAACTGGCGGCAACTCTACCCCTACATCCGAGACGCTGCAACCTTCACTCCTCCGCCCACCTCCACCTTATCCGCCTCCTCCGCCCCCTCCGCGCCCACCCCTACGTTCGACTACATAGTGGTGGGAGGCGGTGCAGTGGGGTGCCCCCTGGCCGCCACGCTCTCAAAGGGCTTTTCAGTGCTGCTGCTGGAGAGAGGAGGCGTGCCTTATGACCAGGTATGCCCCCCTTACAGTCTCCGAGCCTCTCCCCACTCCCATGCCTCCATTCCCCATCCTCCACTTCAACCTCTCAAAGGCTTCTCCGTGCTGCTGCTGGAAAGAGGAGGGGTGCCGTACGACCAGGTAATCCTGTGAAGAAGCTCTGATCACCTGTGAGTTATCGCCTTCTCTCTCTCCTCGCCGCCTCGCTCGTAGAAGGTTTCACCGTGCTGCTGCAGGAAAGGGGAGGAATGCCCTACGACCAGGTATGCATAGAACGAGATACGAACGAACCAGACACGAGTCAATCTCCCTTCTGACTAAAATCCTCCCCTCCACCTGACAAACCCCCTCCCTCCACCCCCTCTCTCCCTTCATGTCTAGCCCTTGGTTCATCGAAGCAAGGCACTTCCCTTCGTGCGCACTTCCCTTCTGCGCACTTCCCTTCGTGCGCACTTCCCTTCTGCGCACTTCCCTTAGTGCGCACTTCCCTTCTGCGCACTTCCCTTCGTGCGCACTTCCCTTCTGCGCATTTCCCTTCGTGCGCACTTCCCTTCTGCGCACTTCCCTTCGTGCGCACTTCCCTTCTGCGCACTTCCCTTCGTGCGCACTTCCCTTCTGCGCACTTCCCTTCTGCGCACTTCCCTTCGTGCGCACTTCCCTTCGTGCGCACTTCCCTTCGTGCGCACTTCCCTTCGTGCGCACTTCCCTTCGTGCGCACTTCCCTTCGTGCGCACTTCCCTTCGTGCGCACTTCCCTTCGTGCGCACTTCCCTTCGTGCGCACTTCCCTTCGTGCGCACTTCCCTTCGTGCGCACTTCCCTTCGTGCGCACTTCCCTTCGTGCGCACTTCCCTTCGTGCGCACTTCCCTTCGTGCGCACTTCCCTTCGTGCGCACTTCCCTTCGTGCGCACTTCCCTTCGTGCGCACTTCCCTTCGTGCGCACTTCCCTTCGTGCGCACTTCCCTTCGTGCGCACTTCCCTTCGTGCGCAGCCCGAGGGCGGCTGTACTTTTGGATACCTCACTACCTCCTTCTCCCCTCCCTTCTTCCCACTCCTCACCCCCCTCCCTCGTCCTACCTCCCTCCCTCCACTCCAGAACTCAGTGTACCGAAGGGAGGCCTTCCCTTACGTGCTCAGCACGAGGCTGGCTGCACCTGTGCTGCCCACTTACTCGCAGCCCCTGCTCCCTCTCCTCCTTCGCACTTTCGTCCCCCTCTTCATCCCTCCCTACCCCCCCCCCAGCCCTTGTGCTTCTACCAGTGTATCGTCGAGAGGCCTTCCCTATGTGCTCAGCACGAGAGCATCAGTTCCCTTCTGGTCAGAGGATGGCGTGTGGAACCGACGGGGCATCGTGCTGGGTGGTGGCAGTCTCGCACCCCTTACCCCGTCGTCCTCCTCTTTGCATCCCTCCCTCACCCCCCCTTCCCCCTCGCTCTCCAGCCTACGGTATACCGTCGAGAAGCATTCCCTTACGTGCTCAGCACGAGGGGCGGCTGTGCCCTTGGTTGCCCCACTAACTCCCCTCCGCGGTACCCCCATCCTCCCCTCTCCCTTATCTCTCCCCCCAGCCTTCAGTGAACCGCAGAGAGGCTTTCCCCTACGTGCTCAGCACGAGGGGCGGCTGTGCCCTTCCGGTCGGAGGATGGAGTGTGGAACGGGATTATGCTGGGAGGTGGCAGTCACGCACCCCTTTCCCCTCGTCCTCCTCTTTGCATCCATCGCTTACCCCACCCCTCCACCCCCCCACCCCCCCTCTCTCCAGCCTTCAGTGTACCGCAGAGAAGCATTCCCCTATGTGCTCAGCACGAGGGCGTCTGTGCCCTTCCGGTCAGAGGATGGAGTGTGGAACCGGAGGGGAATTGTGCTGGGTGGTGGCAGCTCTGTCAACGCTGGCTTCTACAGGTACGGGTGAATCATGATTGAATGTTCAGTGAATATTCATCTAGTGGTGAATGTGCTTCAGCGGTGCACTTCTGGTCGGGGGATGGCGTGTGGAACCGGCGGGGCATCGTGCTGGGTGGTGGCAGCTCTGTCAACGCTGGCTTCTACAGGTAAGACTGCATACGGAAAGGAATGAACCATGACAAGTTGGGTGATGGAATCTCTGTAAGAAGTTTCTGGACCGGATTGTGTTGATTTTCCTTGCGTATATTTGGAACGGATGTGAGTGGAAACATGGCCTTAAAGAGTAAAAAAAAAAATAAGAACCAAAAATAAGGACCAGGTGGGTATTGAGCCCACAATTCAACAGATAGATAGTCAGGGTTGTGCTACTGGACCTGCAATGCACTGAACTGTACATTTACTTATCCTTACCTTTATCTGGAGGCGAATGTGGGCGTGGAACCTGAGGGGGGTTGTCCTGGGTGTTGGCAACTCTGTCAACGCTGGCTTTTACAGGTAATGCTGAATGTTCGGTGACTGTTTGGTGACTTTTTGGTGAGGTAAGTTTCTCCTGCCTTTTAAGATGCACGCACCTTTGATGCATGCACCTTCCGGCATTGGCTGATTTCGTCCGACCCTCCTCCTTTCCCACCTCTCGCTCTCCTCTCTGTTCTCCCTCCCCATCCCCACCTTCCACCACACCAGTCGCGCATCAGCGGATTTTGTCCAGGCGGCAGGGTGGGACCCTGTGAGGGTGCGGCAGGCCTTTGAGTGGGTGGAGGAGAGAATCGCCTTTGTGCCGCAGCAGCAGCCGGGGGGCTGGCAGCAGGCGTTCAGGAATGGCATGCTGGAGGCGGGGCTGGGGCCGTGGAGGGGACAGACGCCCGAGCACGTGATTGGCACTAAGGTGAGCGCTATAACGAGGATAAATAGTGTGTGACAGCAAAGAGGGGGGAGGGGGGAGGAGAAGAGGCAGCAGCAGGCAGTGGGATGGGATGCTGGAGGCAGGGCTGGGACCGTGGAGCAGACGGACGACAGAGCATGTGATTGGGACCAAGGTGAGAACGTGGATGAAACGTGATAACACTGGCAGCTGACACTGGGATAGTTCCCCATTTTTGAGTGCGGAAGGGCTACAGGTGAGACTTGGGGGGTAATGGGTGTACAATCACCATACAATCACCATACAAGTCAATAGCCAGCTGGGCCAACAGCGAACAGCATAAATGGCATATATGAGAATTTTAAGAAACAGCCACACACACGCAGGTCAGCAGCAGACGTGAGACATACCTCCCAATGCTCATCCCCCTTTTTCTCCCTCCAACCCGGCTCCACTCCTCTGCACCACTGCAGCTGGCCAACAGCATTTTCGATAGCAACGGCACGCGCAGGACCCCCCCTCCACTCCTCCCACTCCCCCTACTACGACAGCTGGTCAACAGTATATTTGACAGCAACGCCACGCACCGGACAGCAGCAGACCTGCTCAAAGCAGGAGACACCCCTGTCACTCCTCTCCACTCCTCTCCACTCCTCTCCACTCCTCCCCACTCCCCCCCACTCTTACCCCTCCCCACTCATCTTCATTCCCCCTCCACACTCCCCTTTACTACAGCTGGCCAACAGCATATTTGACAGCAATGGCACGCGCAGGACAGCAGCGGACCTGCTCAAGGCGGGAGACATTCCTTCTCCCCTCTCTTTCCCTCCAAACCCCCCTCCTTCTCTTCCGCACTCCTCTTCACTCCTCCCCACTCCCCCCACCACTACAGCTGGCCAACAGCATATTCGAGAGCAACGGCACGCGCAGGACAGCAGCGGACCTGCTCAAGGCGGGAGACCCATCCCACTCCTTCCCACCCCTCTCCACTCCTCTGCGCTCCGTGCTCCCACAGCTGGCGAACAGCATATTTGACAGCAACGGCACAAGAAGGACAGCAGCGGACCTGCTCAAGGCAGGAGACCCGACGCGGCTGACAGTGCTTGTGTACGCCACAGTGCAACGCATCCTGCTGGACACCACTACTGGTAGGTTTGCATGGTGCATGGTGCGTGTGTGTTGGGTGTTGATGTGAGTGGGGAGACCCGACGCGGCTGACAGTGCTTGTGTACGCCACAGTGCAACGCATTATGCTGGACACCACTAGTGGTAGGTTTGCATGGTGCATGGTGCGTGTGTGTTGGGTGTTGATGTGAGTGGGGAGACCCGACGCGGCTGACAGTGCTTGTGTACGCCACAGTGCAACGCATTCTGCTGGACACCACTAGCGGTATGTGGTGCGTGCATGCTGCCATGCCTGGTGTGCGGAGTTCCGAGTGCGGTGTGTGGTGTGTGGAGCATTCTGTGTGGTGAATGGTGCACGGGGCACACTGATGTGAGTGGGGGGACCCGTCTCGGCTGGCTGTTTGCAGAGCTCATCTACGCCACGGTGCAGCGCATCCTGCTGCACCGTGAGTGTGTTTGTTGCTGTTGCCTGGTGTGTGGTGTGCGGTGTATGGTTCGTGTGTCTTGAGTGCTGTTGCGAGGCGGGAGATTCATCCCAGTTGACGGTGCTTGTGTATGCCACGTTGCAGCGCATCCTGCTGGATGCCACTAGCGGTACGTGAGTGTGTTTTGGTGCTGGTGCATGTGTGTGAGATAACTGAACGTGATGCGGGAGGCCTATCCCAGTTGACGGTGCTTGTGTATGCCACGTTGCAGCGCATCCTGCTGGATGCCACTAGCGGTACGTGAGCGTGTTTTGGTGCTGGTGCATGTGTGTGAGATAACTGAACGTGATGCGGGAGGCCTATCCCAGTTGACGGTGCTTGTGTATGCCACGTTGCAGCGCATCCTGCTGGATGCCACTAGCGGTACGTGAGTGTGTTTTGGTGCTGGTGCATGTGTGTGAGATAACTGAACGTGATGCGGGAGGCCTATCCCAGTTGACGGTGCTTGTGTATGCCACGTTGCAGCGCATCCTGCTGGATGCCACTAGCGGTACGTGAGTGTGTTTTGGTGCTGGTGCATGTGTGTGAGATAACTGAACGTGATGCGGGAGGCCTATCCCAGTTGACGGTGCTTGTGTATGCCACGTTGCAGCGCATCCTGCTGGATGCCACTAGCGGTACGTGAGTGTGTTTTGGTGCTGGTGCATGTGTGTGAGATAACTGAACGTGATGCGGGAGGCCTATCCCAGTTGACGGTGCTTGTGTATGCCACGTTGCAGCGCATCCTGCTGGATGCCACTAGCGGTACGTGAGTGTGTTTTGGTGCTGGTGCATGTGTGTGAGATAACTGAACGTGATGCGGGAGGCCTATCCCAGTTGACGGTGCTTGTGTATGCCACGTTGCAGCGCATCCTGCTGGATGCCACTAGCGGTACGTGTGCGTGCTTGGTGTTGGTGCGAAGTGTGCGGTTCATTGGCTGTGGTGCATTGGCTGTGGTGCATGGTTCACGGAACAAACTGATGGGAGGAGGGTGAGCCATCTAGGCTGACAGTGCTCATATATGCCACTAGCGGTACATGTGCAATGCATCCTGCGCAGCGCATCCAGGCTGGATGCCACTAGCGGTACATGTGCATGCTTGTCGAGGGAACCGGGTACACTCAGAGTGCTTTTTCACCCCATCGCCCATGCCCTGCCTCCTGTCTATCACCACCACAGGCACCCACGAGCAGCAGGAGCGGTGTTTACAGATAACACCAACCGCCGCCACGTCGCTCGGCTGAACCCGGGAGGGGAAGTGTTGCTAGCAGCGGGGGCGCTGGGGTCGCCACAGCCATTGTCCCTTCCCCCTTCCCCCTTGCTCCCCTCCCCTCCCTCCCTGCCAGGCACCCCACGGGCAGCAGGAGTGGTATTCGTAGACAGCACCAACCGCCGCCACATCGCTCGTTTAAACCCAGGAGGCGAGGTGCTGCTGGCAGCGGGGGCGCTGGGGTCGCCTCAGCTGCTGCTGCTGAGCGGGCTAGGGCCAAGAGAGAAGCTGGAGCCTCTGGGGGTGCCGGTGGTGGTGGAGGTGCCGGGGGTGGGCGTTAACGTGACTGATGTGCCAATTAACGGCATCAATATTCTGTCTCCCAGGCCTGTTGAGGAGTCGTCCCTGCAGGTAGGTGATTGGAGAAGGGCATGGGCATGGGCATGGGCATGGGCAAGGGAAGGGGCAGCTACTGCTACTGCTGCTGCTGCTGAGCGGGCTGGGGCCAAGAGAGAAGCAGGGCCCGCTGGGGGTGCCGGTGGTGGTGGAGGTGCCGGGGGTGGGTGTTAACGTGACTGATGTTCCGATTAACGGCATCAACATTCTGTCTCCCAGGCCTGTGGAGGAGTCGTCTTTGCAGGTGAATGGGGGATGGGTGGGTATGGGAGTGCCAGGGGTGGTGGAGGCGCCTGCGGTGGGCGTGATCGTGACTGACGTTCCTATCAATGGCATTAATATTCTGTCGCCCACGCCTGTGGAGGAGTCATCGTTGCAGGTAGGGGGGATGAGAAAGGGCATAGGAATGGGGGTTAGGTGGATAAGAGGTAGCTGCTGCTACTGCTTCTGCTGAGCGGGCTGGGGCCGCGAGAGAAGCTGGATCCGCTGGGGTGCCGGTGGTGGTGGAGGTGCCTGGGGTGGGCGTGAATGTGACTGATGTGCCTATCAATGGCATCAACATTCTGTCCCCCAGGCCTGTGGAGGAGTCATCCTTGCAGGTAGGGGGGATGAGAAAGGGCATAGGAATGGGGGTTAGGTGGATAAGAGGTAGCTGCTGCTACTGCTTCTGCTGAGCGGGCTGGGGCCAAGAGAGAAGCTGGACCCACTGGGGGTGCCGGTGGTGGTGGAGGTGCCTGGGGTGGGCGTTAACGTGACTGACGTGCCTATCAACGGCATCAACATTCTGTCCCCCAGGCCTGTGGAGGAATCGTCGCTGCAGGTGAATGGGGGATGGGTGGGTATGGGAGTGCCAGGGGTGGTGGAGGTGCCTGGGGTGGGCGTGAATGTGACTGACGTTCCCATTAATGGCATTAATATTCTGTCTTTTAGGCCTGTGGAGGAATCGTCTTTGCAGGTAGGGGGAATGGGAAAGGGCAAAGATCGGAACGAGGAAAGCAGGGTATGGGAATGGGGACTAGGTGAATAAGAGTTTAGCTGCTGCTGCTGCTGCTGCTGAGCGGGCTGGGGCCAAGGGAAGGGAGAAGCTGGGTCCGCTGGGGGTGCCGGTGGTGGTGGAGGTGCCTGGGAAGGGCGTGAATGTGACTGACGTTCCTATCAATGGCATCAACATTCTGTCTCCCAGACCTGTGGAGGAGTCATCCTTGCAGGTAGGGTAAATGGGTGGATGGATTGGGTATGGCTTCTGAGAATTCTCAAAAGGATGGGGTATTTGAAGCAAGATCATCAAAGCCGCAACAGATATGAAATATTTCGCCCGCTCCAACCCCCCTGCACTCCTGTCATCCTATCTTGTTCTCCCTCCTGTTCTCAGTTCGTGGGTGCATCGGCGTCAAACCACATTCTCGGCTGGCCGGGAGCAGGCGAGATCAACACGGCCCCACCCTACTTCTCTGCACTCCCATCCCATTCTCCTTCGATCCCATTCTCCTTCCCTCCTATTCGCTCACTCTATCTCCTATTCCCCCAGTTCGTGGTAGTAACACCAGAGGGCAACAGCATAGAAGGTGCATCAGGGTCGAACCACACTCTTAGCTGGGCCCCCTGTCGATTCTCCTGCCCTCCTACTCGCCCTGCCCCCTCCTATTCCCGCGGTTCGTGGCAGTAACCCCGGAGGGCAACATAATCGAAGGCGCATCGGGGTCCAATCACATGCTCAGCTGGCCGGGAGCAGGCGAGCTCAACACAGCCACTTAGTCTCCTTCACTCCCATTCGCCCTCGTTCCCATTCTCCCGTACTCCTATTCTCCCAGTTCGTGGCTGTGACTCCAGAGGGAAACATCATAGAGGGCGCATCTGGATCAAACCACACGCTCAGCTGGCCGGGAGCAGGCGAGCTCAACACAGCGCCGCCCATGAACCGCACGGGGCAGACAGAGGCAATGATCGAAGCCGTGCTGCCGTACATCCCCGGGGTTATTCAGGATGCTCTGAATCAAGCAGGATTCATTCTGCACAAGGTAAAGGAAAGGGAGAAGGTGGTGGTGGTGGTGGAGGGTGCGGTGTAGTGTGGTGCAGTGCGGTATGGTTATGTAGCTCAACATAGCCCCACCCGTTAACCAGACAGGGGAGACGAAGGCGATGATTGAAGCCGTGATGGGGATGGGTGCATGTGTTGTGGTGTTGTGCTGTGCGGCGTGTTGTGGTGTTGTGCTGTGTGCTGTGGTAAATTCTGTGTCAGAACTCCCTCAAAACAGGATGGAACGAATCAAACTTCTCACCTTTCCCTCTCCTCTCGATACCATTCTCTCTCCCCCGTCTGGCACAGGTCTACCTGCCAGCCTCACGAGGCCCTCGCCCTCGGCCGGATTTAAAGCCTCCCCCATTTTCACCTTCTCTCCTTTTACTCTCTCTCTCCATTCTCTCCATTTTCACAGGTCTTCCTGCCTGCCTCTCGAGGCTCCCTCACCCTCGCATCCCTCAATGCCTCAGACAACCCCATCGTGCGCTACAACTACTTCTCCGCTCCTGAGGTACGGTGCTACGGAATTTACACTGGCGTTTGCCCTCACCTCACTCACACTCGCATCCCTCAACGCCTCAGACAACCCCATCGTGCACTACAATTACTTCTCAGACCCCCAGGTACGGTGCTACAGGCTTTAAGTTAGGCCATGGTAGGCTACAGGCGTACCTCTCACCTCTCTCCTCCCTCACCCTCGCGTCCCTCAACGCCTCAGACAACCCCATCGTGCGATACAACTACTTCTCTGACCCCCAGGTACGGTGCTACAGGCAGTGCTACGAGTTATGGTAAGCTACAGGTGCACCTCTCACCTCTCACCTCCCTCACGCTCGCGTCCCTCAACGCTTCAGACAACCCCATCGTGCAACTAAATCTCCGACCCCCAGGTATGGTGCTACAGCTACAGGTGTACCCCTCACCTCCCTCACACTCCGACCCTCAACGCCTCAGACAACCCCATCGTGCGATACAACTACTTCTCCGTGATACGCAGCTACTAACATTTTAAAAACAGAAAACAGAAAAACAGATTCAGCTACTTCTCCCTCCACTCTCCCTCTCTTCCCCACCACACTCCCATCTCTCTCCCCCACTTCCCACCCATAACCCTCCTCCCCTCACAGGACTTGGCCACGTGTGTGAGAGGAGTGCAGCTGCTCGCCCAGATAGTCAATTCCACTGCTCAGCTGCTGCCTCTTTTCCCCACTTCAATCTTATCTCGTTCCTCTTTCTCCCTCCTCCCCTTCAGGACGTGGCCACGTGTGTGAGGGGAGTGCAGCTGCTCACCAAGATAGTCGCCTCCATGCCTCAGCTGTGTCTTCTGTGTACCACTCCTCGCCTCCCACCCTTCTTTCTCCCCTCCCTGCTGTCATAATCTCCTTTATCTCCTACAACTACTTCTCCGCTCCTGAGGTACGGTGCTACGGAATTTACACTGGCGTTTGCCCTCACCTCACTCACACTCGCATCCCTCAACGCCTCAGACAACCCCATCGTGCACTACAATTACTTCTCAGACCCCCAGGTACGGTGCTACAGGCTTTAAGTTAGGCCATGGTAGGCTACAGGCGTACCTCTCACCTCTCTCCTCCCTCACCCTCGCGTCCCTCAACGCCTCAGACAACCCCATCGTGCGATACAACTACTTCTCTGACCCCCAGGTACGGTGCTACAGGCAGTGCTACGAGTTATGGTAAGCTACAGGTGCACCTCTCACCTCTCACCTCCCTCACGCTCGCGTCCCTCAACGCTTCAGACAACCCCATCGTGCAACTAAATCTCCGACCCCCAGGTATGGTGCTACAGCTACAGGTGTACCCCTCACCTCCCTCACACTCCGACCCTCAACGCCTCAGACAACCCCATCGTGCGATACAACTACTTCTCCGTGATACGCAGCTACTAACATTTTAAAAACAGAAAACAGAAAAACAGATTCAGCTACTTCTCCCTCCACTCTCCCTCTCTTCCCCACCACACTCCCATCTCTCTCCCCCACTTCCCACCCATAACCCTCCTCCCCTCACAGGACTTGGCCACGTGTGTGAGAGGAGTGCAGCTGCTCGCCCAGATAGTCAATTCCACTGCTCAGCTGCTGCCTCTTTTCCCCACTTCAATCTTATCTCGTTCCTCTTTCTCCCTCCTCCCCTTCAGGACGTGGCCACGTGTGTGAGGGGAGTGCAGCTGCTCACCAAGATAGTCGCCTCCATGCCTCAGCTGTGTCTTCTGTGTACCACTCCTCGCCTCCCACCCTTCTTTCTCCCCTCCCTGCTGTCATAATCTCCTTTATCTCCTCAGGACGTGGCAACGTGTGCGAGGGGAGTGCAGCTGCTCGCCAAGATAGTCAATTCCACTGCCATGGCGCCCTTCCGCTACGACACCCCGCCCGTCGCCCTCTTGTAAGCCCACCCTTGGCACGCCTCGCAAGGTGACTGCTGAGTGAACTAGAGAGCCGCCCATTGCTCTCTCCTCAGCCTTCTTTGACCCATTTCAAGAGGCGAGGGCCACTGATTCGCAGCTGCCTTTAAGACAGGCATCTCCATTGTCATGGCTCCCTTCAGCTATGACATGGCACCCCACCCATCCCTCTTTTGTAATCCCTACTCTGACCTCCCACCAACTTATGTGTCTCTTCCTCCCTCACTCCATCTCTTTCTTCCTTCCCTCATAAACCTCCATTCCCCAATAGAAGCCTTTGTTTTGTTCTTCTCCCCGTCTCTCCCGTCCGCCCCCCTGCACGCACCCTCCCTCCAGCCTTCTTGACCCAACTGCTGCACTCGTCACGCCAGGGAACTTTCGAGGAGCTTCCCCTGCTCTTCCAGACGTCTCCAACTTTACTGCCTCTGCCCAGTGGTGCAAGGTGGGTTTCCGTTTCTTTTAATCACTTTTGACTCAAATCAAGAGTCAATTTCTTGCGTCATAACCCTCAACACCCCTCACCGCTCTCCTCCCTCCCACCCTCTCCTTCCTCCCTGTCTCACCCCCATCAGGACACTGTGACGGTCATCTGGCATTTCCACGGGGGCTGTCACAGGGGCGTGTGTGTGGACAGCAGCTACCGTGTGAACGGAGTGCAGGCACTGCGACTGGTTGCACTCCAGTGCATCGACCTTCTCCCGTCCACATCCTTATCTTTGTCCCCCCAACAGGACACCGTCACGGTTATTTGGCATTTCCATGGGGGCTGTCACAGGGGCGTGTGTGTGGACAGCAGCTACCGCGTCAACGGCGTGCAGGCGCTGCGCGTGGTGGATGGGTCGACCTTTCTCACCTCCCCTGGAACCAACCCCATGGCCACATGCCTCATGCTCGGGAGGTGAGGCCATTGCTCCATGGTGTGTGTACTGAAGGAATGCATGGGTGCATCTGGGACAGCAGCTACCGCGTCAACGGCGTGCAGGCGCTGCGGCTGGTGGACGGGTCGACCTTTCTCACGTCCCCAGGCACCAACCCCATGGCCACATGCCTCATGCTCGGGAGGTATGGGCGCAGGGGATGGTGATAGATGGGCGTGCATAGGGTGCATGGGGTCGACCTTTCTCACCTCCTTGGGTACCAACCCCATGGCCACATGCCTACTCGGGAGGTAAAGCTAAAGCCATCATGCTGTGGATTTGGAGTGTAGGAAGTGGAGAGGTGGCTGTTAACAAAAAAAAACATAAACAGAAAAAGATCCAAACAGCGAGGCGCGGGGGGGGGGGGGGGGGGGGGGGGGGGGGTTTCGGAAAAAGATCCTCTTACAGATGAACATGTGATTAATAGATTATTTATTACCCTTTCATATGCACAGGCGTACATCCCTGCTTCCGCCCCTTGAATCTTTTATTCTTTTTTGCTTTCTTGTTTTCTCCTGCGTCCGCAATCTTGCAGGTTTATTGGTTTGAACCTTCTTGAAGAAAGGGGCTTCAACTCCTCAGTAGCATGAAACCACCCATTTGAGTCCATTCGCGAGCGCCATGCAACCAATGCTTTTATCTTGAGTTGCACTACGCGACCCTCATATGGAATTGTTAAAGGAAATGCACGATTCTGTACAGCTGTGTATGGTAGTGAATTAATACTAAACATGGTTACGTTTGTCTTATGACGACCGAGTTTAAACCTGTACCCTCTAAGCTGCTTGCGCAGCTTTGTAGCTGCATTGCAGGTTGGAAGACCCTCAACCTTAGTTGCATCTCAACGCCCAGAGGGAACAAATCTCGTTCCCTCTTCACTTCAGTCAACCAATTTACCCACATTTAGCATGCCGCGAGCACATCCTATTCCCTGCCCGAACGCTCGCCTCTGCATTCTCGGAATTATCAATCTGCTGCCCGCAGACGGCACAGAAATTCCCCGCCGAGTGTACCGAGCTGTTCTGATACCGCTCAAAGAGGTCGCCGCCTCTTATCGAGTCGTGGTCGTTCATTATAAAGGGTACGCGCTGGTCCCATGGGTTGCGGGGGGTAGTGCTTGGGTTTGGGGTGGTGGGAGGCAGGGAGGTTGACCCCTTGGAGGCCTTGGAAAGATAGCTGGAGAAACTCTTGCTCTGGTGGGACAGAGGACAGCAGGGAGAGAAGGGGTGGAATAAGGGGAATGGAGTAAAATCAATTTTCTGAGGTGGTGGGAGGCAGGGAGGTTGAACCCTTGGAGGCCTTGGATAGATAGCTGGAGAAACTCTTGCTCTGGTGGGGCAGGAAGAGGGAATGAGGAAGGGGGAAAGGGAGTGTGAGGGGAGGGGTAGGCGGGTGGGCAGGGAGGCTGGCCCCTTGGAGGCCTTGGAGGGGGGGAAACGGGGGGGAGGAGGGGCAGGAGGGTGGGGGTTGGAGAGGGAACTTAGCCCCTTGGGGACCTGGGGAGATAGCTGAAGTAACTCTTGCTCTGATAGGACAGAGCGGCAAGTGCGATGGAAGCAGCAAGTGCGATGGAATGGAACGTACCCTGAACTTGGAGAAGAAGGATTTGGAGCCGGGGGCCTTGGGCACGGGGCAGGCGTAGACATCAGCAGCAGCAAAGACAGCACTTTCTGACCTAAACAGATTGACGTGTGATGTGAACCAACAAGCACGAACAACGTACCCTGAATTTGGAGAAGAATGATTTGGAGCCAGGGGCCTTGGGCACGGGGCAGGCGGAAGGGTCAGCGGCAGCAGAGGCGTCAAGCAGGTCGACTACAAGTACAGTGATGTCGTCCCTGAGGCCCTTGGCCTTTATGGACTCCTGATGAGACGGAATGAGGGCAGAGGTAGGGGCAACAAGGCAGAGGGGTTTGCAAAGGCAGTGAGGGGTCAGCGGCAGCAGAGGCAGCGAGCAGGTCGACTACAACTACAGTGATGTCGTCCCTCAGACCCTTGGCCTTTATGGACTCCTGTTAGGGGAGAGGGTGAGATAAGGTAGAGAGGAAGAAAAAGCGATGTCAATCTTAACCAGGAATGGCAATCTGGCAGTACCGCACAGCACCGAGAAGAACCAGGTTGCAGCAAGACGCACCTTGCCAAACAGGAGCTCAAATTCAGTGCATCCCAACAAACCCTGACGAGCACATACGGCACCTGACAGCACCACTCAGCACCGCACCTCACTGCACAGCACAGCGAAGTACCACATGGCACCACACAGCATTCATGACTCACCTTGACTAGAAGAGGAGCAGCAGCAGTGCAGGGCAGCCCTCTGCATCGCCTGGCTGCCTTGTCTGAATCCACTGCATCCCACGACAGCAGTACGGCACAGCACCGTACAGCACAGCACCCAGCAGCACCTTACACCACCGCACAGCACCTCACCTTGACTAGAAGAGGAGCAGCAGCAGTGCAGGGCAGCCCTCTGCAGCGCCTAGCTGCCTTGTCTGAATCCACTGCATCCCACAGCCCATCAGACGCCATCACCACCCTGCCTCCGTCTTGTGGGACCTGCAGAGAGGAAGGAGAGCGGCACAGAGGGGCACAAAAGGGTGCAGGGGGGCACAGGGTGGCACAGACGGTTACAGAGGGGCGCACATGCACTCTTGTCTGAGTCCACTGCGTCCCACAGCCCATCAGACGCCATCACCACCCTGCCTCCGTCTTGTGGGACCTGCAGAGAGGAAGGAGAGAGGTATAGAGCGGTACAAAAGGGCACAAAAGGGCACAAAAGGGCATGGTCCGGTCCGGGTGTGAAACGTGTGCATGACAAACTTGCCCGCATCCCCCATCACCACCCTGCCTCCGTCTTGTGGGACCTGCAGAGAGGAAGACGAGAGGCACAGAGGGGCACAAAAGGGTGCAGGGGGGACGCGCAGAGGGTCACAGGGGGGTACAGAGGGGCACACATGCAGCGTTGTCTGAATTCACAGCCCATCCGACAGCAGAACCACCCTGCTTCCCGCCTGTGGGACCTAGAGGGAGGGCATGCGGGCACAGAGGGGCACAGAGGGGCACAGAGGGGCACAGAGGGGCACAGAGGGACACAGAGGGGCACAGAGGGGCACAGAGGGGCACAGAGGGGCACAGAGGGGCACAGAGGGGCACAGAGGGGCACAGAGGGGCACAGAGGGGCACAGAGGGGCACAGAGGGGCACAGAGGGCTGCAGGGGCAAAGAAAGGGCAAGAGAGGGGTGCTCATGTCCATATGCCTGAGTCCACGGCATGTAGCACATAATGACGTAACATCCCTCCACCACACCCCTTTCCCCACCTGGATCTGCTTGACATGCGGCAGCGGCGTGATAAAGCGTGCCACAGTCCAGATCACCTCCCATATACAGCCACACTGTGTATAGACGCCCCTCCACACCCCTCCGTACCCTTCTCTTACCCACCTGGATCTGCTTGACATGCGGCAGAGGCGTGATGAACGTGCCACAATCCACGTCGCCTATTGATCGCGACACACAAAGCCCTCCTGGCCAGCTGCGCAGCGGGCCCAGCTGTTGGGTGAGAGAGAGGCAAGAGGAGGGAAAGGAGATTGTTCTTGAGTCAACTCAGACGTGCCACAATACAAATCGCTCATCGACAGCGAGACACACAGCAACACAGCCCTCCTGGCCAGCTGCGAAGCGGGCCCAGCTGTAGATGAGGTACGGAAGAGGCGAAAGGAGGAGAGGGAGTTGGGCAGGTGGGAAAAATCCCATATGATCACTCCTTTCAATTCGTGTAGCACTGTGGTGGAAACAACTGTTCGAATAATCCTGGGATGGACTGTTCAAGGTCTGGTCGATAGAAGAACAAGTATACTGGTCCAGATATTATTTTTATCTCGTTGAGAATCAAAACACTTTGCATTCGACAGTTCATGAAGTGTGGGGACCCAGATCATATACACCCACCTGACAGCACACCTGACAGCACACCTGACAACACACCTGACAACACACCTGACAGCACACCTGACAACACACCTGACAACACACCTGAGAGCAAACCTTAAAATATACCTGACAACACACTTGACAGCACACCTGACAGAGAGCACACCTGACAGACAGCACACCTGACAATACACCTGACCACCCTCACAACACACCTGCGTGCCATCGAAGGTCCGAAGCCTGGCGAGCTGGCCGCCCTCCTTGAGCACTCTGTTGCACCTGGTCAGGTGGTTTCAACAGAGAGGGCAGCAAGAGACATGGCAGCACGGGGCAACACACAGGAACGAAGTCAGGCAAGAGCAGGTGCAATCAATGGGGATTCTCAAAAGCACGGTCCCCTTCCCTCCCCCCTACCCACCCCACGCGCCGCCATTCTTCCCCATTCCTTCATCCTCTCCTCAGATGCTTCGAATCGGTGGTCCAGAGACAGAGACGTAACGCCCCCTCCTGTGGTGCCCGAAATGGCACGTGAGTCCCCCACTGCTCTGCTACCTTCCGGTGATGGCGAATCAAGGGTCCTTTTCCCATTCTTCCCCCACTCACTCGTCCTCGGACACTTCGAATGGGTGGTCAAGTGAGAGTGGTGTCACGCCCCCCTCTGTGGTGCCCAGAATGGCGCGCGAATCGCCTACTGATACCTTCAAGTAGCACAAATCAGGAGACATTCTCCCTCCCCCTCTTCCCCACGCTCACCCCCCCCCACTCACTCGCCCTCTGACACTTCGAATCGGTGGTTAAGGGCGTATCCCTGGCTGGTGGCAGGGCCACTGTAGCTGGCAGGGTTGGTGGCAACTTTCCAAAAAACACAGGGCGGCGGAAAATGCCAGCTACAGTGCCAGCTACAGTGCCAGCTACAGTGCCAGCTGCAGTGCCAGCTGCAGTGCCAGCTACAGTGCCAGCTGCAGTGCCAGCTACAGTGCCAGCTACAGTGCCAGCTACAGTGCCAGCTACAGTGCCAGCTACAGTGCCAGCTGCAGTGCCAGCTACAGTTGCCCTGCCACCACTTAAGTGAGAGCGGTGACACACCCCCTTCCCGTGGTGTCTAGAGTGGCGCGTAAGTCCCCCACTCAAGTAGGCCAAATCAAGAAACTCGCCCACCTCCCCCCCCCCCCCCCCCCCCCTCCACCTTCCCTACCCTCATTCTACCGCACTCACTCGTCCTCCGAGACTCCGAATCGGTGGTCCAGCGACAGCGGAGTAACGCCCCCCCCTGTGGTGTCCAGAATGGCCCGCGCGTTCCCCACTCGCGGGCTGCTTCCAGGTTAGAGAGAGTCCAGAGTCCCTTTCCCCATTGCTGAACCAATTGCGCCTCCTCACAGCCCCCCATCCCCACTACCCCTCTCCATTCCTAACTCCATTCAGCCCCCCTCTTTCCCCACAACCCTCCCCCCCATTCTCACTCGTCCTCTGAAACTCCGAATCGGTGGTCCAGCGACAGCGGAGTAACGCCCCCCTCCTGTGGTATCCAGAATGGCCCGCGCGTTCCCCCCGGCTACGAATCAAATCCCCTTTGCTAAATCGAATCCCACTCACTCGTCCTCGGACACTTCGAATCGGTGGTCAATTGAGAGGGGTGTCACGCCCCCTCCCGTCGTGTCTAAGATGGCCCGCGAGTCCCCCACTGCTGCCACTGTCACCGTCCACCCCGAGACTATCGCCACCGTTGCTGTTGCTCCTGACGGCTGGCCGCCTGGTGTTGGGATACAGGAAGGGTGTTGTATGCGGGAGGGGAGAGGCGAAGGAAAATAAGGGTGTAGCGTGTGTGTAAATCGCGCGAGTCCCCCGCGGCTGCCACTGTGACCGTCCATCCCGAGACTATCGCCATCGTTGCTGTCGCTCCGGACGGCTGGCCCCTGCTAATGAGAAGGGGGAGGGAGGTGGTTGGGTTAGTGGGAGACAGGGCGAGGGAACACGAGGGGTGGGAGGCGGAGCAGGGAAGGAGATTGAGAAGGTGTTAGGGTGGAGATGGAAAAGGCGAGGCGAGGAGAGGGAGGAGACACACGCGCGCACACGCGCAAACACGCATGCACACACATGCACACGCATGCAGCACTCACGCAGGGCGAAGGTGTTGTGGCATTTCAGAAACCCTTCCGCCAGCGCCATCGGCAGTGCCTTCAGCCACGCCTCCCTCTTCCCCCCGCCTCCCCCTCCCCCTCCCCCGCCGCCGCCATCGCCTCCGCCTCCGCCGTCGGCGCCGCCACTCGCTGGCACGTCCGCGCCTTCCCCGTCGCGCGGTTTACTCGTCACCTCCGCCTCCTCGCCCTTCTCCCCCGCTTCCTCTCGGTACGACGACCCCCCCGGCAGGTACTCGCTCACAAACCCCAGCAGCTCCTTCTTGCAATGCATCGCCGCCGCCGTGCCGTTGTGCCCGTCGAACACCTGAAGGGGCGGGGGCGTAGGGGTGGGGGGAAGGAGGGGAGGACGATGTTGGGGATGAGTGGAGGGTACTCGCTCACAAACCCCAGCAGCTCCTTCTTGCAATGCATTGCGGCTGCTGTGCCGTTGTGCCCGTCGAACACCTGAGAGGCGAGAGACTAGGGGGAAGGATGGGAGAGGTAGAGATGGGGAGGGAGGAGGAAGAAAATGGGGGAATAAGTGGAGGGTACTCGCTCGCTGACAAACCTCAGCAGCCCCTGCTTGTAGTGCATGGCGGCTGCTGTGCCGTTGTGCCCGTCGAACACCTGAGAGGACAGGGGAGGGGAAGGAGCGGAAGGAAGGGGGAAAGGTGGGGTGAAGGGCGTGCGAGGAGGTGGGGAGGAATGAGGGGATGAGTCGAGGGTACTCGCTCGCTCACGAACCCCAGCAGCTCCTTCTTGCAGTGCATGGCAGCCGCTGTGCCGTTGTGCCCGTCGAACACCTGAGAGGACAGGGGAAGGAGGGGGGGCGGCGGGTGAGAAACGAGGGGAGGCCAGGGGGAATGGGGGAAGAAGTCGAAGGTACTCGCAGTGAGGGGAAGAGGGGAAAAAGGGAACTGGAAGGTCGGAGGGGGACGGAACGATTGAGAGGGAGGGGAGGAGGAGGAGAAAGAGACTGGTTATCGCATTGAACAAACCGACAAACACGGCGGGAACTCGACTTACGCAGTACACGCCGCAGTTGACGCCGCCTAGCCGATACTTAGCGAGCGCCATGTGAAAGTCCTCGCCTTTCTTTACTTGCTCCGCCACCGTAAACCGAACCACCGGATCCGCCGCCGCCGCATCCGCCGCAAAATGCGGAGACAGCTCCGTGGGGGCGGTCACCGGCCGGCCCTCGGGAATGCCGCCGGTGATCGGAGTGGAAACGGCATCCTCGGTATAAGAAGAGCCCTCGTTGATCGCGGATGTCGAGGCGGATTTGACGGTGACTCCTAGCGACGCGACTGCCGACATGGATGCGACTTGCGCGGTCATGGATGGGAGGGGAGAGGGCCTAGACGATGCGAGCCGTCCTAAAAGATCCTATCCGAAACGACACGACGATAGGATACGATACGATACGATACGATACAATGCGGTGCAATACGTTCTCAGGCTGGTAACGACGCTGATCGGACGGACTTATGAATAGGTAGTTAACACTTGAAGAGATGTATGGCGTTGCGAAGAGTGATTCTAACGAATGTCAGGTTTTTGTTCCTAGGTTTGACTATTACAGTTGGAAGAGGTGGGAGGCACGAATGCATGGATGCGCCATGTCTTGTCTTTGCAGTCATTCCTGGTGGTCACGTGCTCGATTCTCCATGCTGCCATAGCATGCTCGCTGCGCTTGGTAAAGCCCGCTGACGTCAGCATCTATGTAAAGACATCTATCACCCACCGCAGGATCTCACACAACGCGAAATACGCGGACACTTTAGAGCGATCCTGTCGAATGGCAGACACTTTAGATTATGGGCCGGGTGTGAGGGTTGGAATGATGTCAGAAAACAAGGGAGGGCGTACACAGGAACGTGCTGTGGGCACGACAAGGTAAATAAGCGCGACGTGGTAAATAATAATGAAGAACCGCTTCCCCTAGCCGACTTTTGCCTCGCAGAGAGAATGCACCCGCTGCTTCGCTGTTCGCGCAATCAACAAAAGCGGGTTACGTGACGACGACAGCCTTCCTACTAGGCCAGCCTACGGTGCTGATCCGTTGGATTTGGTCTGGCCTGGGTCTCGACTCTGGGCTCTACTACCCAGCTTATTTTGCTGATCGACGTCTTGGTGTTGTCGCTCTAACCCTCGTCGCGTTGCAAATGGCTAAGGTTGCCACACGCACAAGATAAGGAAGGCCGCAGCGAGCGAATAGGCGAGGGGAAGGAAACACGAATTTTTTACAGCTCAGCCAGAGCCCCAGCAATGGCTGCGAGCAATGCAAGTGTGGTGTTTGGGAGGACCCGGGGACTGGGGCAGGTCTCACGGACGGAGGAGAAAGCCTGCCTGGGCTGCTGCTTGTGCTGCACTGCTTGAGTTGGTGTGGGTGACAATGAAATGGTCAATACAGGTAAATTACGGTTGCGTGGGTTCGAAGACGGTGGAAACGGCATGGGCAGGTTTGGGCCGTGCTGTGTGTGGCACGGGAAAGGAGGAGCACCAAACCAAACCAGCACCGAGAATTTTCCGGTAGATGGCCAAAGATCGTATACATATCGTAGGTGCCCTGAATTAAGCTGGCATTGCGTACAGAAAGAACCAAGTTCACATGACTATGGGCACTACTTCTTTCAACTGACTCACACTAGCCTGATGTTGTCCAGCGACGACTAGTGTGTAGGAAAAACATAGTTCTGCAGGAAAGAAAAACACTAGTCAGTTGAAAACAGGTAGCAGAAAAGGGGAGAACCTGGTAATGTATTCCCGTTTGCGTAAAATTAGGAGCTAGGCCTGGAAAACCACCCGAAGCATACAGTGAGGGCGATTGAGGCGCAGCGAACGTAACAACGCATCGATCTGAGCCACGTGGACCATCCACGGGTGGATGAGAAATCTGGGAGGCTGGAAATCGACACGGGTGACGAACAGCACTTGGTCAGGAGAACCTGGCGAAATCGCGCGCATCGGCGGAAATCGCGTTTGTCTCAAAAGAATCGACCCAAATTGCTCACACTTCGCCATGTGGGCGTTTTTCCTAATTGAATCGACCCCCTTTCCCCCCGCCCCCCCAACCCGTTTTTCCCGCCCTGGCTACATCACATGAGCCCATGTGGTCGTGGAACTGACGGCGGTTGGCCGTCTTGCCTCGTTGTCCCACAACTTGAGGAGGGTGGAATGCGGCGTGCGTGAGCGAAAAGTTCTGATAGCGTTCCCGACAGGCGCAACGTGATTGGATGGTTTGTGAAATCATTTCAACCAATAACAAGAACCAGTGGTCAGTCGTTCGGTGGTCGACCAATCGAGTCTGGCTCTTGAAGCAGCGGGAAGCCAACTGAGTCCCGTGTCAGACCGCGATAGGTTTCCCCAGGAGAATGATCCTGTAATGGTCGACTCGATTACAACAAAAGGCGGAAGCGCAGAACAAGCTATATGAAGTCCGCAAAGTTAGCGTGATTTGAATACCAAGTCACCTAGTGTTTTAGCAATATCCAGACATACCAAGTGCCAATGTCATCTAGTCAGATGCTGGCAGGTTCTAAACCTGTGGTCATCTACCAAAAACGATGCATTCAGTATTGGAAACGTGCCTTCGCTCCATTCATGAATCCCATTTGCGGAACCAGGGATGCTCTGCATGGACCAAAAAGTGTGGGGAGGACGGAAATCAATGTGCTTGAAATAACTGAAATAAATGCTGGAAAAGAGGCGGGCACACTGATTTATTGTGAGGCTACATATCATTTATGCAACAGCAATACGTACCGAGGGCAGCACGGGCAGTGATTCTCTTCTTCTGGTTGTGCGTCAGCAGCTGGCAAATCAGATCCTTGCCAGGCTCTGACACATTCCGCCACACAGCACCCCGGAACCCCCACTTCCCCTCCCGGATCGCCTTGGTCACATCAGCCTCTGTCTTGGCCCAGAAGGGCGGCACGCCGGCCAGCAGCACGTATAATACAACGCCTGCCGACCACACGTCCGCTGGGAAGCCATAAGAGCCTTCGACCACCTCTGGGGCGACATAGTAGAGAGAACCAACAAAATCAGACAGCGGCTTGGAACCTGGTGCAGAAGAGTGGGGGAGGGAAGGGAGGGGGGCCCTGGCTTCAGGATGGTGGAGATCTCGAAGTTGATGGCGCTGACATTGGTGGGGGAGGAGGTGATTTTTGAGTCGACTCAGAGGTCTGACCAGGATGCAGTACCGATGAACACATGGGGGAGCCCGTACCTGGCTTCAGAATGGTGGAGACCCTGAAGTCAATGGCGCGCACGTTGGTGTGGAAGGAGGTGACCTTTGAGTCGACTCGGAGGTCTGGCCAGGATGCAGTGCAGAAAGAAAAAAGGCGGGGTCCCGTACCTGGCTTGAGGATGGTGGCGACTCCAAAGTCGATGACGCGGACGTCGGTGTGGGAGGAGGGGTGGGCGAGGAGGATGTTCTCGGGCTTGATGTCGCGGTGTAGCACGTGGTGCCGCTGGTGGCAGCTGTGCAGCACGCCCAGCACCGCCCGCATCACCGCCGCCGCCTCCCTCTCGCTGTACCGCCGCCGCTCCTTGATTCGATCAAACAGCTCGCCGCCCGAGCACAGCTCCATTATCAGGTGGATGGCCTTTGATGGGGGAAGGGCAGATAATGGGGAGATTAGACAGCCTTTGACGACTCAAACGCTCGCCCCCTGAACACAACTAAATCGCCATGTGGGGCCCATCGAGTGGGCATGAGGGGGGTGGGAAGAGGAATTGCTGTGCTGAGGCGGGTGCTGACTCGACTTGAACAGCTTGAATCCCCCAATCCACGCACTTTCTCACTTGCTCACTGGAACACAAACTCCAAATAATCTCACCTGTTCGTTCTCGAAGACCTCTTTCAGCTTCACCACCTTAGGATGCGTTTTAACCATCTCCATTATAGTCACCTCGCGCCTCACGTCGTCCTCATCTGACTTGCTCTGCTCTCAAAGGCAAATAAAAATATGACAGGATGGGAGCAGAGAAGGTGGGAGAATTGGGCGAAGAATGCATATGATGCAATATAACATATCCTGGCAATATTGTGGACCAGTTGAATAATGGAGTGCGCAAATATTGTAAGGCTGGTGAACACTGTGAGTTGGCGAATATTGTCCATTAGATTACTCGAGTGCCACTCAATAGTTACCGTCAGGATAACAAATTTCACTATCAGAAAATATATCGTTTGTATCCTGACGGCTTTTACACAATCTTTCTTCATGCACATGAATGGGCTTGACTTGACGAGTTTGACAGGTTGATTTGTGTGCGGGACCTTGCCTTTTCAATTTCCGGAAACCCCAAGGTTATGAAAAGCTGGTAACGATTTTTTTATTTCACAATCCTCCACCCGTTCCTGCCATACATCTCCTGCCTGTCGAGACTAGGGTTACAGCGTTACGTTACTGGCGACTCAGTCTAGATAGGATTCATCAGACCTTTTCGCGCAACCTGAACCTCACCACAGCCACAAGATGCTTTCGCTCGAACGTTGGCAAGTTACTGCTTGCGAATGCACTCGAGCAAATTCCATGCTGCGAGTTCAGAGATCACCGACGAGAGAGTTCTGCTGAAATTGGCTAGCCTGATGACTGCCGATTAAAATAGCCTGATTATCACTGGCGAGTTACTAGGCTAATAACTACTGCCGAATGATCTACCCAAATTATTGCTGACGATCAAGTAGCCTGATGACTGCTGGCGAATCTACCTGGAGAATCACTGGCCTAATGTCTGCTGACGATTAACTAGCATGATAATTGCTGGCAATCTATTAGCTTGATGACTGCTGGTTAGAATCCAACCTGATGACCGTTGACGAAATAATAGCTGATAACTGCTGGTGATTAACCAACCTAATGACTGCTGCCGACTAATTAACCTGGTGATTGCAGACGAATAACTAGCCTGATAACTGCTGGGGATGAACTAACCTGATGATTACGACCAAGTGAGTAACAAGCCTGATGAAGACTGACGAAATACTGGCCTGATAACTGTTGGCGAGACACTAACCTAATGACCGCTGGCGATTAGGTAACCTGACAACTGCTAGCGACCAACAAGCCTGATGACTGCTGATGTAAAACTAGCCTGATAGCTGCTGGCAAGTAGATCGCATGAGGGCTGCTGGAGAGACAATAACCTGATGATTGCTGGAGTGGAGATCAAGTAGCCTGATAACTGCTACCGAGTAACTAGTCTAGTAAACACTGGAAAGTAGCTAGCCTGATGACTGCTGGCCAGAAACTATCCAAATGACTGCTGACTAATAACCAACCTGATAACAGCTGGCAAGACACTGACCTGAGGAATGCTGGAGATCAAGTAGCCTGATATTACTACCAACTAACTATCCTGATGACTGCTGGTGAGAAAGTAGCCTGATATTTGCTGGCGGAAAACTATCCTAATGTCTGCTGACGAGCAACTAGCCTGCAGATATAATAAGGTACTTGAAAATGACTGAACCTACTTTTACTGAAGGAACAATGACACATTGAACTTGATTGATGGAACCTTGACATTTACTGACGGTGCAATGACATTGACTGACGGTGCATTAACAATGATTGATGGCACATTAACATTGACTGGCGGTACACTGCACTGCACACATATAAAGATTACATACCCCCGACGGCCATGAAACTTCACTGAAAGACAAGTAGCTTCGTTTGACACTGAAGTGAAGGAGAAGAAGTGACTTGCGAGGGACATTGACTGGCTGGAAAGCCAAAGGCGAAAGAGAAAGAGCTAACATTAATTAGCACAATCACACTGACCTTCAGAGCAGCCTTGTTGATTGTCTTGCACGCAAATTTCTCCCCCGTGGCTCGGCACACCGCCACACGAGTCACTCCAAACTGTCCCGACCCAAGCTCCTTATCCATCTGCACCGCATACGACGCCCCTACATCCCTATACTCCCCTCCCAGAATGTTCCCTGCTCCCACGCCTCCTCCCACAAGCTTATTAAACCCCTTCATCGCTTTTTCCAGGAACCTTTTCCCCTTGGCGCGGAAAAACGACTGTTGTACCTCCTCTAAAGCGGCATCGTCTTCAAGCAAGTCGTCTTGTAAGGAGGATGAGCCAGAGGAGGAGGCTGAAGCAGCAGAGGGACTACGAGTTGGCGTTTTGGGTCGAACAAGTGCCTCACTATAAGCAGATTTGTTACCAGATCCAGTGGAAGCGGAAGACGGCATTCGGGTGGGAGTCTTGGACCTCCTTTCACCTGAAGGATTGTTATCCCCGTTATAATCAGACCTGGTAGAAGAAGAGGACGGCATGCGAGTGGGAGTCTTAGACCTGCCTTTGCCTGATGCCTGCACATCCTCGCTATAACCAGACCCAGTGGAAGCAGAAGAGGGCATGCGAGTAGGAGTCTTGACTCTCTGTTCGCCCGTAGGATGCTTTACCTTTTCCCCACTATAAGCCGACCCAACAGAGGCAGAAACGGGCATACGAGTGGGCGTTTTGGGCCTGCCTTTATCCTCGTTATGAGCAGATGCAGTGGAAGCAGAGGAGGAGGTCCGAGTTGGTGTTTTGGGTGTGCTTCCATGGGCATGGGTCGTAGCAGCACTAGAAGTCGAGGAGGAGCGGGTGGGCGTTCGTGGCCCACCTGAACCGCCACCTGAAGAACCACCTGAAGCAGCACCTGAAGCACCACCTGAAGCATGCCCTGCCCAGGAGGCAGAAGAGGACGAGCTGAACCTCTGCGGCTGCTTGCTTCTCGTCTGCACCTGCGAGGAGCCTTCGTTGAAGCTTCCTCCCTGCCCTCTCCCGCCCCTCCCTTGGCCCTCCCCCCCAACAGGAGGGGTAGATGGGGCATCCCTCCGCGGTACGGGGGAGGGGGAGGGGGAATCATTGGGGGAGGTAATGGGGGAAGCGGAGGGGGATGCTTTGGTGGAAAGCTTGGGGGGGCGAAGGGGACGTTTTTGGGACGAACCACCACCAGCAGCAGCAGCGGCGGCGGCGGCGGCGGCGGCAACAGAGTGAGGAGCATCGGATACATCGCTGATGCTGCTGCTTTTGGCCCTCTGCCTCATGCTGCTCCCGCTGCCACTGCCACTGCTCCCACCGCCAGCACCACCACTGCCACCACTGCCACCGGCAGCAGCAGCAGCAGCGCCAGCAGCAGCAGCAGCAGAGCCAACTGGTCCACCTACAGTGCTGCTCCTCCGAATCACAAACCGCACGTCGCCAGAGCTAGTACCTTGGCCCGGCACAAGGCCGGTTCGGGGGCTGACCAGAGCTGCTGTGGAGGTCCGGCGAGGTTGGGGAGGAGAGTGGTCTAGAGAATGAGAGTGTGACATAACTGGACGGTGACTATCATGAGGGAAGAGGTCTATTTCCCCTTCAGCATTCTCAGGTTCAGGTGTAAGGTACGAGTGCTCGTGGGAGTGAGGGGGGGAGTAGTCAACAGAGTGAGAGTGGGTCATTCTGGAAAGAGGGCTGCGAGGAGGGGAGAAATCCACAGATGCCACGTGGCCACGTCTGATTGGTCTATTGAGCGATTCAGTCTCTGCTGATTGGTGTCTAGAGAGCCGTCTCCCCTCACCAGCCGCACCAGCCCCACCAACCCCCCCTGCTGGCCTCACTACTCTTCCCCCTCCGAACGCGCTTTCACTGGTGTTGCTCCCAGGGCTCATACTAGCAACTACGTCCCCACTGCCTGTCCTTCTTATTGCTTCATGCTGCCGCTGCTGCCACTCCTGTCGCTGTCGCTGCCTAGTCTCCACCTCTGACGTATACCTCCTCTGCAGCCTCCGTCCACCTGGCGATACACCCCCTGCCACGTCATCCAGGTCCACGTCACCACCCTCCACGTCAGCAGCACCAGCAAACTGCCCCAGGTTAACTCCCGGAACGAGGGACGTGCCGTCACCCCCTTCGCTCATGCTCTTGTGCATCCGCCGAAACCCTCCCCCCTGCGGTGCCTGCCCACGCCCTCCCATACGCCCTCCTGTCCGCCCTCCCACTGGCCCTCCCACCAGCCCTCCCTGCACTCCTACCCGGCCTCCCGGCGCTCCCACCCACTCTCCCTGCGTCTCCCGCACACCAAACGGCCCATCGCCCTCCTCTGCGCTGCTGCTCTCAGGCACACGAGCCAGAGGCTGCACGAGGTGCGGGGAAAGAGGCATGTGACCGTCCTGCGGAGCACCCTGGGGGAGGGGACCGAGAATTGGACGAGAGCCGTGCCCTCCCTGCCCCTGCATGCGGACTTCCCGCGGGCTGATTAGAGCAGCTGCTGTGGTGTGCCCATGCTCGCCCCCAGCTGCTGCTGCACCTATGGGGTTTGCCGCTGGGGAGCCTAGGAGGACCCTGGGCCTTGCGCCTTCATGCATCCCCGCAGCATCAGTGGTGACGCTGACCCTGCTCCTGTTGGGAATGCTGCTGCCGTCAACAGTAGCAGCACGCGGCAAAGCAGACGAGAAGCCCCCCAGGGACCCCCCTCCCCTCGCGCGTATGTGCTGCTGGCTGCGCTCCCGCTGCTCCCACTGCCCTCCCTGCCCCCCCTGTCCCCCCTGCCCCCCCTGGCCCCCCTGCCCCCCCTGGCCCCCCTGCCCCCCCTGCCCACTCTCAGACCAGCCACCAGTGCCGGTGCCTGTAGTCCCAGCCTCCCCAGGAGATGCCTCCCTGCTCCTGCTTCCCACCACCGTTGCACTCATGCTACGTGGCAGCCCCCCATTGGACGGTGACGGCTCCCTGCTTCTTGAGAAGCCACCAACCAGAAAAATGTCCTCGTTGCTTCCACCCCTCCCCCGCTCCCAATCCCCTTCACTCCCCATCCGCGCAACCCCTATCCCCGCAATCCTCCCCCACCCCCCTCCATCGCCCCCGTCTCCTCTCCCTCCGCCCCTTCCCCCCGGCGCTCCTCCCCTCCCCCCGCTTCCCCCTCTCCCCCCGCGCCCTCCCCCCCACAGGCGCGGGGAGAGCTCAGCGGAAGCAGCAGAGCAGCTCCTGCTGTGCCAGGGGGAGCCAGGGCGGGGGAAGAGTGCATCGGGGGAGGTGCTTCTGGGGGAGGCGGCACCTGGGGAGGGCAGGGAGCAAGTGGAGCGCGAGTTTCGGTGTGCAGCAGAGAGGTCAAAAGACAGGTCGCTCCCGCCCCCGCCACCAGTGCGACTGATGCTGCTGCTGCTGCTGCCATTACCATGACCACCACTGCCAGCACTGCCACTGGTAACCCCATGGTCCCTCGTATCTCTACCATCTGCACCAGCATTAGCAGCAGCGTCGTCACCCTCGTTCTCGTCATCGTCTGAGTCGATTTCCTTCAAGATGTGGGCGAAGGATGGTGAGATGAGCCGCAGCCTGCGCTGCTCCTCCGATTCCACACCACTCGGCTGCTGCTTCTCCCCCTGCTGCTGCGTCTGTCCCTGCTGCCCCTGCTGTCCCTGCTGCTGTTCCAACTGCTCTGCCTCATCCTCCTCATCCTCGTCATCACCCACTTCGTTTAGAATATAAGCAAACGAGGGGGACACCAGTCGCAGCCGCCGCTGCTTCTCCTCCTCTAAGGCGTCAGCCAAAGATGGACCCTCCGTCTCCCTCCCCCCTCCCGCCCCTTCACCCCCCACCCCAAACGGACTCACCCTGATACCATCGTCAAGAGCACCAGAACCAACAGCGCCGTCAGCACCAACAGCCGCCGCCGCTGCCGCAGCAGCAGCAGCTGCTGCTGCCCGAGACGCTGCAGATCCCGGCACTCTCGCTGCATTCCCCATTCCCTTCCCCTCCTCTCCCTCTCCTTCCCTCCCCTCCTCCCCATCACTCTCGTCATCCACTTGGTTCAAAATGGAGGCGAAGGAGGGCGACGTGAGGTACAGTCTCCGCTGCCTTTCTGCCAGCGTCTCACTGCGCTCTAACTCACCAGCTCCACTATCAGTGGCACCACCACCAGCAGCAGCACCACCACCACTGCCAGCCGCACCAGCAGCAGCAGCAGCAGCAGCAGCAGCAGCAGTAGAAGCAGCAGAGTATGAAACCTGGGCGGGCGGCATGGGAGCAGGCGAGTCCGCGTCCCCTTTGACTCCCGGCAGTGACACATCCGAGAGCCGCCTCTCCTCCTCCTCGTAACAACTCTTCTGGTTACCACCCTTGCGGTAACCACCTTGTTCCCCTTCCCTCGGCAGCACCCTTTCCTCTGTGTACCCCGCCTCTTCCAAGTCACTCCCCTCGTCCTCCCACTCCCCCTCGTCCTCGCACTCTCCCTCAGGAACAGAATCCATGCTTCCACTCGACCTGCCCGACCCTCGCCTCCCTCTCCCAATCCTACCTCTTCCTCCTCTTCCTCCTCCTCTTCCTCCTCCCCCACTTCCTCGTTGCCCCTCATTCTTCACTCTCGCCTGATACCCCCCTCGCTCCCCCTCTCTGTCCTGGCTACCAGCTGGCAGATCAAACTGAATCTGCCTTTGGCGCGTCTGTTGACCGCGCCGCTCCCCACCTCTCCTCTCCATCCCCTCTCTCTCTTCCCCCTCTTCCCTCTCCTCTTCTCCGTCCTCTCCCTCATCTCTCTCCTCCTCGTCCTCCTCTCCCTCCTCTTCGAAAAAATCATCCCCATCCTCCTCCATCCAAGTAGGCCTCTTCTTACTCCCCCCTCTCTCCGGAAAATACCTCACACTCCCAGCCCCACTCCCGCTATAATCACTGTCCGCGTCGTCACTCCTCCCACTACCACTCATACTGCTCCTCATACTGCTCCTCTCACTCCTCTCACTCCTCCCACTTCTTCCATCCCCCGTTCTAGTCGCACTCCTTTCCCTTTCATCTCTTATCGAATCATCCCTCTCTCTCCGTCCCGCGCCGTCTCCTCTCTTCCTCCAACCATCCCCTCTATAGTGCTCCTCGACTTGCTCCACAAAGTCCCAGTTCCCATCACTGCTGCCATCACTCCCACTTCCCCGCCCATTCTCCCTCCTCTGCCGCCCAAAATTCTGCTCCCTCTCCGTGCCATGCTCGTCGTGCCGCCCGTATCCCACTTCCTGCCGCCCACGAACGTTCGCCTGCCGGCCACTGCCACCTTCCTGACGACCGCTGCCCCCCTGCGACCGGCCGCTGCCACCAGCCTGCCGGCCACCGCCGCCGCCGTGCCGTCCACTATCGCCCTCCCTACCGCTGCCGCCCTCCCTACCGCTGCCGCCAGCAGAGCTCCGCCCGCTGCCGTCCCGCGCCACCCGCAGCTCTTCCCCTTCCCCCGATCTTGATCCGCTGCGCGCGGCTTGTACGGGCGCTCGCGTTCCCGATCTTCCAGATCCCGAGCCTCCGGATTCCGAACCTCCAGACCCCGAGCCGCTCACCCGGACATGCCGAGCCTGATTAGCAGGTCCGCCAGGCCGTTCCGCCTCAGGCGTGCGCATTCGCTGCAGCGATGGCTGTGGCCCTCCGCGCATGTTCCCCGTCCCCCCGCGGGAGGAATCCGCGCGGGGAAAACCTCCGCCTGCAAAATCTCCGCCAGGTGCATCAGGAACAGAGGCCCCGCGGAAGAGAATGGGGGACTTCGAGCGGCTCCGCTCAACGGCGCTTCCGCCGCCGCCATCGCGAGAAATAGCTCGACCCATCAGCGGGGATTTCGACCTGCTCCGCGCAACCCCCCCTCCTTTCTCCGCTCCGCCAATCCCCGCCGCCGACCTCCCGCGTTGCTCTCCCCCCACCTGGCGCACGGCTTTCGCGGGGAGCTCGTTTAGCCAGTTGGAAAGGTGCGACACGCCGCCCATGGCGCCGCCGACCGCGGCGCCCATTGCACCGCCTATCGCGCTGCCCATTGTCGGCGTCGTGGGCCGTCGAGGCTGCGCAGCATTCGGCGGGACGAGCGGGTGGTTACCAGCGGGACTAACTGTGCCGGTGGCGCCGGGAGCGGCGGGAGCGGCGGCTAGCTTGTGTTGGAGATTAAGGATCTTCTGCTGCTGGCGCGACTCGAGGGCGTTGGGCTGGTGAAGCTTGTGAATGAGTTGCGACGCTTTATTCACCTGCTGCTGCTGTTGCTGTTGCTGTTGCTGTTGCTGCTGCTGTTGCTGCTGTTGGAACGTAAGCATTGCGCCGTGCGCGGGACGGCGGTCCCGCGTTGTTTGCATCATGCAAAAGCGGTTACTGACTCAAAAGTCGGGTTGCTACTAATTGTGAGCCAAAAAAACTCGTGGACGAGAACGGTAATCAGAATGAGCTAGTTCGGAATCAGCTGTCCTCTATTAAAGTGAGTGGAAGAACGAGAAATAGGGTAGGGAATTCAGCCTGAGGAGCAGGGAGAAGGTGAATCGACATACCGCTGAACCGCCTATCCCCGGCTCTAGATCATTAGGTTACTGGGCAGTTACGACGGAATAAAACGGAAAACGCATTTTCGTGATTCCTAATCAGAAAGAATGGCGAGGAGAGCAAGCCATTCTTGTTCACGAGAAAGCGAGGGGCTTGTGGGAGGCTGCTGAGCTGAGTAACTCACATCAAGCTGAGCAGCCGAGATGAGTTGGCCACACTTCAGAGAGAAACCATGCATATGTGCAACACTCCTCTTGAATGGCAGCGGCAAGGAACAAACTCGTCCAAATCGACAGGACTTGCTACGGACTGGTACAAGTGAAGGGAGGGAGTCAGGGACGAAGGCAAGAATGGAGCAGCAATGGTGACATGCAGTGCAGACAACGCGGATCACCTGGACTATTTACCGTACTGAACCGCTAAATGCCATGTAGCATCGCGCTGAACTTTCGGAAAGCATGCAACTTCTAACTTTGACCCGAGATGGATAGAACAAACAGGGTCGTACGAAGCAGGGGAAAAGGATCTTGATTTTCGATATTTTTTGGAAGACCCTGCCAGGTTCGAGGAGTGACCGAGGTTGTTCCTGCCACCGTAGGGTGTCAGTCGATGAAGTTTCGGCTGGTGGGGAGAAAATATGAAAATACTGGAACCTAGAAAATACGCGACAAATGAGGCGACAACTACGATTGGCACTGCCGCGCTCGAGCAGTTATTCGCTCGACTGTCAACAATGGAGAAAGAACTCCAAGATCTGCGCAAAGGCGATGCGGGAACCACTTCCCAACCAGTTCAACCTGGACAACCGGCTGCGAAAAGCCGCGATACCGCCGCGCACGGCTTCTCCCTCGACTCAGACAAATCTGCAACAACTGCCCCTCGTCCAAGCGACGAAACCATCAACTCTGCGCAAGCACGCTTTCTCAGTGTGTCAAAGATCAAGACTACTGCCGCGTTTGACGGCAAGGATTTTTATACATGGAGTTTTGAGCTTGAGCTCCTCCTACAGACAGCGCAGATCTACCACTACTTCGACGGCTCCTATCCTAAACCGGTGGAAGACACCGAAGACGCCCGCGCTCAATACTACAGTGAGTCGCTCATGGCGTATAGCGTTCTGCTGCGCAACATGTCGCCGGCAGAACAGCTCGGCATCCGCTCCTATAAAGAGAGCGCCGCTCCGGCTCTTGAAGCTTGGAAGCACCTCGTGGAGGTATATCAGCCGAAGGATTCCGTCACTGCAAGCCGCCTCCTGCAACAACTCATGGAGACGAAGATGGGGCACGGGGAGAAAGCAAACAGTTACATCAACCGTTGTCGGAACATCCGTGATCAAATCATCAAGAACGGAAGTTCGATCTCGGAGGAGATATTCGTAAACATCATCCTCCAGGGACTTGGGCCCGAGTGGAAGCCCTGCAAGGCACTACTCCGACAACGAGGACAACTTTCCGAAGCCGCGCTATGCGCCGCACTGCTGACTGAACAGCAGGACATGGACTCGAGCAGAACGAGTTCCGCGCCACGCCGAGAGCGACTCGCCTTCTACACAGACAACCGTGAAGAGCGACGACAACCAAGGCGCCATTACTGCAAAATTTGCAAAGCCTTCGGGCATTCAACGGATCGATGCAAATCCCGATCCAACTATCGGCACCCGAATTCCACTCACCACAACAACTGGGTCAGCCGACAAGACGCTCGTCACTCTCAGCCCCAACAACCAGTCTCCCGTCCTCCTGCACAACAACAACAACCACAGCAGTCACAAGGATCTCAAGGAGGAGCTCCCAGAAACATAATCGCAAACATGGCGACGCGACGCCGCCGCACCGACGAACCTGACGAAGAAGAAAAAATTCAGGGAGTACTGCTGCAATCAGAGGAGGAGTGGAATAACCCCCTTACAGAAGATCACCATTACCTGTACGACGAAGACGAGCAGGATTGGAATCAGCCAATCACACTGCGGGAAAGCCCGCCACACGACAATCAAATCCACGTACCTGTCGGATGGAAGGAAGACGAAGACCCATCCTTCTACAGACGCTACAAGGCAACGCTAGTAACACCCCGACTCGCGTTACTACTCCGCAACAACAACAACAAATATAATTACAACACCTGGTACCTGGACAGCTGCTGCGGACAGCACATGGTGGGTTCGACTCGCTACGTATCGAACCTCAACCGCGCCCCCGCAACTTACGTCACCGTCGCTAATAGTCACCAGCTGCGCGCCAACTCCCAAGGCATTGTCGTCCTGCAAGCACGAGACAGCAACACCCACATCTCGTTCAACGACGTGCTCTACGTCCCAGACCTGCGCTTTAATCTGCTCTCAGCAGGACAACTTCGCGACTGCGGCGTCATACTCACCACCGACCTGGCCACGCGCGACCTCATCCTCACGTACGCCCCTCCAGACACACCTCCCGAGTCGTTCAAATACCTCGGTCGAGCCCGCTCCATAAACGGGATCTACGTTCTGGACTTCGACGTACCAAGCTGTGAAGCCTCATATGATGAGCTCGTGGACCTGGTCCCCCTCGAATTCGCCTTCATGAACGAAGAATCGTGGCAACATCCTGATGGACGGCCATGGATCCGCCGCAGCCCGCATCCGCGCGAAATCAATCTGCATAACCCCGACATCAACGGACTCTGCACCACCTGCCACACACCCGCGGCAAGCCGCACGGAGCAAATCGAGAGGCAGTACGCTGCGATCCAAGAGGCGGAAAGTGCTGAACAAGAACCCAGCGGCATGACCGAGGAAGAACTCGCAGTATCAACTTACCGCATCTTCGGAGAAGAAAACAAGCAGTGGGGTCACCAGCCCGATCCGCGCCCCACACCACGTTCCGACACCCTCCGATTCATCCTCGAGGCCAACGCCACCACCATAGACGAGGAAGGACGCCCGCGCCCGTACACCCGCGAAGTCTACCGCCGGGAAATTGACCCAGCCTGGAAAGACCCTGATGAGGAAGAGGAGTTAAGCGTCAAGGAGGAACAAGACAAAGCCAGGGCAGAGAAGAAACAAAAGTTGTATGAAAAACGCCTCGCAGCAGGCTGGAGCGAGGAGTCTGCACGACGAGGCGGATGGGGAGACGATGACTACGAGCCCGAGACCGGCGCTACCTGGGCATCAGCCACTGGAGCATGGGGAGCCAGCGGCAGCGGCATGGTTACCACTGGAGGCTGGGGCATGGAAGAAACAACTGAAACGGACATAACCCAAGAGGAGCTGAAGGAAGCAGAACAGGAGATGCGCGCCGAACGCGGAGAAAAATCACCCCGTGTCGCCATACCTCTCGGACGACCGCCACCTCCACGCTCACCACCCCGCTCACCCTGGCGCTGGGATAGCACCTGGACGGAGCTTGAGAAGGGGGATGTACCTCTAACACCTGTCCGAGACTCTCTTGGTCCAATCTCCCGTCCAGATCCATACGCCCGCTTCATCGAAGGCACAACAACACCGCTCACCATCATCCCCGACCGCGAATTTCTCGCCCTTTATCTTTCAACCGCGCCTGCAGAAGGGGAGACAACCGCAGAAGGAGAAGCAGAAGGAGCAGAAAACGAAACAGAACCAGGAGAAGAGGAGGAACCACCACTCCAGATCCCACAAGAAATAGAGGAGGATGCAGCGGAGCATCGCGCACGCTACATGCGCAGCAGCGGCATTCGCACCGAAGTCGACCTCTGGCACCAGCGACTCGGGCATCCCTCGCGCCAGACTCTCGCCAACTGCCTCCGCGCCAAGGTCTTCCCCCCAGGAGCACTTAAGCGCCCCGACGGCACCGAACCACACAACACCTCACATCCACTTACCTGCACCGTCTGCCCCACTGCAGCCCTCACTCACAGCGCATATCCTTCACTGGAGCCAAGCACCAACCGCTACAAGAAACTGCAGAAGGTGTACAGCGACTTCATCGTACTCACCTGCGACGGACTCAACAGCAAAAAATACACGCTGACCTTCATCGACGCCTACTCTCGCCACGTCTGGATCGCCAACGTCGACGCACGGTCCAAGGCTCCAGAAGTCTTCCGGATCTGGCTTGCACACGCACAGCGACAGTCAGGGAGGAAGCTGAAAATCTGGCAGAGTGATGGCGCCAAGGAGTTCCGCAGCCACGAGCTGGAAAGCGTCCTCACCGAAAAGGGGATCAAGCATGAGATCTCTCTCCCCTACGCTCATCAGCAGCAAGGAGTCGCAGAGAGGGTAAACCACACCCTCATGACGAAAGTACGCGCCCTCATGAACCAGTCCGGACTCCCCAAGAAGCTCTGGCCTTACGCCATGAACCACGCAGTACGCCTATACAACCTCCTCTCCACCACGGCCAACAGAGACAACCTTTCCCCACACATGAAATGGACCGGCACAAAGGGAGATCCCTCCATGCTGAGGGTTTGGGGGTGCATGGTGCAGTACCGGCCAACTTCGGCACACATCGGCAAGTTTACTGAACGTGCACGATGGGGGGTTCATCTG